ATTTCTGCTACTGGTTTTCCAGAACTGGTCAGAACTGGCTGAATACTATTCTGACCAAGGCTTATGGAGACACTAACAAACACATGTTAGTTCCCAAACCCATTTTTCTTTATTTCAATGGCTGTGAATTTCAATCATTCACAGCCCATAATGAGTCTGAAACAGTTTGTAAATATTCCCATGGAAGTCTGCCAAAGTCCTTCAGGATGAGTCTGATAAGCACACACCTTTATCTTTCTTGAAATGCTGCCAACAACTAAATGTTCAATTGGTTATACGAGGCCAAAATGGAACACAAATTCAACACCGAGCTTCAGGTTTCAAACCGACCAGTATGAACAAAGTTGCTTCCTGCAAAGATTCCTGTCCTTTTGCTCCTCCTTTATGTCTTATGGGAGGGCCAATCACCTTCAAGCCTTACTCCCAATCACCCCTTTTGTCTTAACTGTTCTTGCCTTCTGGCAGCTCTGTGCAAGTGCGCACTGGGAACAGGCTCTCCCTGTTCCTCTGCCTTGCTGCTGTCAGATTATATAGGCTCCAGAGTCAGCACATAACTCCCAGATGGCCCCGGCTCCATCTCTGTATCAGACGCAAGACCCTTGTCCGAGTCCCCCCCAGACTCCCGGACTGGCCCATGTTCCTCCCCACTGTCCGACTCTGCTGCTGTCTCCATAGGCTGCTGATGGACCACAACAAATACCACCTCTTGTCAGCCCTGAAGCCATATTAGAGCATCTTCAGGGCTGCCACAGCAAGGCCGATTGCAATTGTGGGAATGGAAGGGGGGAGATAGAGGTAGCTGGGGATGTGTAGCCAAAATAAACTCCTGGGAACCAAGGACATTATCACCAAGTGCTGGGAATGCGTGGACTGAAGCCAACTGAAGTTGGGACTGTGACCTGATTGGATCATGTGATGGAAGTGTGGACTGGGGGCAAGAACTTTGGGTTTTGATTTGGGTGGGGAAAACCTCAGGTCCTTCAGAGTCAGGTTTTCACCACCTGTGCCAATATGACATACCTAATAAATTCATACCTTGAAGAAACTCCAGGACTCAGAGTTTAAATTGTGTTGGGTTTGTTATGTGGAACCCTGACACTGTGCTTCTACTACCACTGGACCACTTTGGCTTTTACATCCTCTTCTGTTCCTCCTTCAGGCCCTGGTACTTCTCCAGTTTTCATGCTCCTTTTACCCGATTCAGTTAAGACTGAATGAGAAACTTCCTAAGAATGTTTAAGAATGGAGGACAATTAAGGAGTGGAACAGCTTGCCTTCAGAAAATGTGCGTGTTTCATCACTGGGACTCAGGAAGCGGAGAATAGATGGGGGTGGGGCCAGTCAGAGGTGGGATTTGCTGGTTCTCAAAACTATTCAAAATTTCTGCTACCGTTATATGAACATCTCTGGAATAAATATAAGATATATTGTAGATTGGGGGATATACCACGTGAATCCTAAATATATTCTTTTTACTTTATATTTACTCTTTTTGATTGTTTACTATATATCGGTCTTGAGAAAGTTAATGAAGATAATAATGTACAATGTAAAATAAAATAGGTGGCAAGCTGAAAATGGAAATAATAGGGGATAAAGAATTGAAAATATATGTGAGGATGAAATGATTTTGATACTGAATTAATGAATTGAAATATGAAATGGAAACTTAACTAAAGATTAGTGGAATGGATAATGATTTGATGTGATATTAAATAAGAAAATGGAAAATGTAATTATGACTATGTATAAATGTTGTAGTCTGGAATCATGTTACTCATGTGAAGAGATGTGTAAAAAATAAAAAAAAACCTTTTATTATAATAAAAAAATAAAAAAGAATTCTGCTACTGATTCTCCAGAAGTGGTCAGAACCTGCTGAATACCACCTCTGCCCCAGAACTACCTGGTCCTTGTTTACCACCGTGATGTGATACTACACTTCCAAAGATGAGGGGGTGAAAGTTTTGTGGCTCAGAGGTCTAAGGAGAAATTTCCTGACAGTGAGAACATTAATCAGTGGAACAACTTGCCTCAAGAAGCTGTGAATGCTCCAACACTGGAGGTTTTAAAGAAAAGATTGGACAACTGAAATGGTATAAGGTTTCCTGCTTGCACAGGAGGGTTGGACTAGAAGACCTCCAAGGTCCTTTCTGTTATTCTGTAATACCATTGATAGGTCTGCCATCCAAAGCTCAATTCATGGCCCTCCAAGTCTAACAATCTTTTATTCTTGGTGATCTCTCACCCTTTCATCCGAACCAAACAACATGTCTCAGCATACAGTTTTAAATCTGGTAAACCCAAACCTCCTTTTTCTTTATTGTCTTGCAATGGCGTGTACTTAATTTTTGGTTTTTTTCCTCTTTCCACATAAATTTAGAAATCTGCCTTGGTTATTCCTGTTTGGATTATTGTAATACACTTAGTTGGGGCTGCCCTTGAAAAGTATCCAGATGCTTCAGTTGGTATAGAATATGGCCATGTGAGCGATTTTGTGCACCCAAAGAAGAGTGTGAGTAACACCTTTGCTCCATGAACTGGACGGGGTGCCAGTTTGCTTCCAGGTCCAATTCAATGTTTTGGTTGTGACCTATAAAGCCCTATCAGGCTACGTACAGTATCACCTTCATCCCATTAGATTGGCCCATCCCACCTGGTCAGGCAGGGATGTTATCCTGTGGAATATTCTCCCCTAGAGGTAAGGCCGGTCTCCACTCATCTGGCCTTCTGAAAAGGAGTCAAACAGACCACATGGCCTCATATGGTGAGCTCAAAGAAGCATGTGGCATATGTTTTTTAAGGAACAATAAAGGAGCAAGTACCTGGCATTATGAGGAAAGACACACCAAAAGTAAATTTCTATTTTATTTTGACAACAAACGTTCTTTTATATTCAGATCTGGTCTTAAAAAAATAATATAGCACTTGGGGATGAAGATGCAACCAACAAGACCAGCGCTGGAAGACAAGATGGAGAAGACCTGCACAGCCACCATATACTTCCCCTTAGTGCTCAGGTAGGTGGGTACGAAGGATATCCAGACGCTACAAAAGACCAGCATGCTGAAGGTGATGAGCTTGGCTTCATTGAAGGCCCCAGGTAGATTCCTGGCCAGGAAAGCCACTGTGAAACAAATGACAGATAAGAAGCCCATGTAGGCAAGGGTAAGGTAAAACATGGCAATAGAGCCTTCATTACATTGCACAATCATATCTGCAGATAGCGAGTCCATGTCCAACTCAGGGAATGGGGGAGAAGTGCCCAGCCAGATGCTGCAGAGGACAAGTTGAACAACAGAAAATGAAAGGATCATAGAATTGGTGAGGCTTTTCCCCAGCCATCTCTGTACTTTATTTCCTGGTTTTGTGGCCAAGAATGCTAACACCACCATGATTGTTTTTGCCAAGATAGTAGAAATGGCAACTGAGAAGATGTTGCTGAAGGCTGCTTGTCGAAGAAGGCAAGTGGCTCTCCTTGGTCGGCCAATGAATAGGAAGGAGGTCAAGAAGGAAAGCAGGAGAGAGATGAGGAGGATGTAGGAGAGATCCTGATTGTTGGCTTTGACTATGGGAGTTTCTCGGAATTTAATGAAGATTCCAAAGATTAAGCCTGTTACCAAAAAGCAGAACAAGGCAAAGGAAGCTAGGACAATCCCCAAATGTTCTTGATAGGATAGGAAAGTTTCAATCCTAGGTATACAGTTATCTCGATTGATGTTTGGATGCTGATCTGCTGGACATTTGGTGCATTTTACAGCATCTGAAAAGAGCAAGATTAACATGTACCTCAATGATGTTTTTCCACCAGAGGGAAGTTTCTGAACTTTTCTCATCAGCTGGAGTTCAACTAGTGATTGTGTGGATTCATGTGGTGGAGAAAGGTTATATGCAGAAATGCGTAGGAAATTTAAGTAGTGTAGCACAGAAGGACAAGTAGCCAATATCTGAAGCATTGTAGGAATGCGCTGCTTTCCCCCACTCCCTTTCTGCTGGCAACTAAAAAGACCAAAGGAGTATTTTTTTAGTTGACACAAAGGTTTGCCACACATTCCTAGGGTGAACTGTGTCTACTTTTAGAGGCTGCACCATTTGCCAAAGAGATTCTATGGACTACCTTTTACAGTGAAATCTGACCTGATTCTTTGAATAGAATAGAATAGAACAGAACAGAACAGAACAGAACAGAACAGAACAGAATTCTTTATTGGCCAAGTGTGATTGGACACACAAGGAATTTGTCTTGGTGCAAATACTCTCAGCGTAGATAAAAGAAAGATACATTCATCACGAATCACAAAGTACAACACTTTAACAAATCATACTAGGAAACAGTCAATATAGATCATAAGGATACAAGCAACAAAGTTACAGTCATACTGTCACAAGTGGGAGGGGATGGGTGATAAGGAGTAGATGACAAGATTTAACAGTAATAGTAGTGCAGACTTTGTAAATAGTTGAACAGTGTTGAGGGAGTTATTTGTTTAGCAGAGAGATGGCATTTGGGAAAAAACTGTCCTTGTGTCTAATTGTTCTGATGTGCAGTGCTCTATAGCGTTATTTTGAGGGTAGGAATTGAAACAATTTATGTCCGGGATGTGAGGGGGTCTGTAAATATTTTCACAGCCCTCTTTTGGACCTGTGCAGTATACAGGTCCTCGACTGAAGGCAGGTTGGTAGCAGTTGTTTTTTCTGCAGTCCTAATTATCCTCAGAAGTCTGTGTCTGCCTTGTTGGGTTGCAGAACCAAACCAGACAGTTATACAGGTGCAGATGACAGACTCAATAAGGAAGATATTTCACCAAAAAATTCAGCTACTGCTTTTAATTTGTAGACTGGCTGCTGGGGAAGCTCCTTTAGTACATTCTCCTTGCAAAAAGCAATCCACTTAGAACAAGGAGATGGTGAGGACTTCTATCTAAAAAGCCATTCCTTTGACTGGTGGATAACCCTGTGTCTTTATTCTCCCACCGAGGTCAGGAAAGTAACACTAATGTATTTTGTGTCCTTGGGCATCTCTGTTGAGGGCTGATTGACAAAAAATGTTCAGTTTTAGAGTTCTTCCTGTGGCTCCAGCTGGAAGAAAGACTCTTCTCAATTTTACCCACCTATAAAGAAATGTTTCATCTTTTTTTATTCAGAGATGAATAAATGAATGGAGGGAGGGAGGGAGGGAGGAAAGAAGGCAGGCAGGCAGAAAGTAATTAATTAAGTAAGTAAGTAAGTAAGTAAGTAAGTAAGTAAGGAAGGAAGGAAGGAAGGATCCAATGTTGTATTTGTAGGTGAACCTATTAAACAAACTGTCAACGTTCCAATTTAAACCCTTAATATAATTCCGAACTCCGAGACAAAGTCCATCAAAGTAAGAATTTATTAGAGATATGTTGGCACATCTGGTGAAAACACTAATCTGAATTCCCACATTTTCCCCCCTATACACTAAAACTCACACCCTGCCCCATTTACTGACCTTCATGTCACTTGGCCCAATCAATCTCCTGTCTCAGTTGCCGCCAAATTTTGATCACTCCCCCCAGGTGCCAGCAGCTTGTCCTTGATCTCTTGTGAAAGAATGTTGTTATGGCGAAACTCCCTTTGCTATTCTCCCATTCCAACAGCTTGCCCATCCCCCATTGTGGTAGGCCTGAAAATCTGTCCCAAGATGGATGCAGGGTTGACACAAACAAGTTCAGTCTTTCACTCATATATTAGTGGACCAAGGAAGAGAAAGGAAGGGAAACGAAAGGAAAGGAAAGGAAAGGAAAGGAAAGGAAGGGAAGGGAAGGGAAGGGAAGGGAAGGGAAGGAAAAGGAAAGGAAAGGAAGGGAACAGAAGGTAAAGGAAAGGAAAGGAAGGGAAGGAAGGGAAGGGAAGGGAAGGGGAAGGGAAGGGAAGGGAAAGGAAAGGAAGAGAAGGGAAAAAAAGGAAAGGAAGGAAAGCAACAGGAAGGGAAGGGAAAGGAAGGGAAGGGAAAGGAAAGGAAGAAACAGGAAGGGAAGGGAAAGGAAGGAACAGGAAAGGAAGGAACAGGAAAGGAAGGGAAAGGAAGGGAAGGGAAGGGAAAGGAAAGGAAAGGAAGGAACAGGAAGGGAAGGGAAAGGAAGGGAAAGGAAGGGAAGGAAAAGGATCCAGATTTTTGCATTTCTCCAGCGATGGCTAATAAAATGGAGGAGGCTGACCAGTACAGAAGATAAAGATAAAGAAAAATGAAGAGCAACATATGTCATTATCATCCTATCTTTTAATAACATGCTCCCAATTTAAACCCAAGATTATTTCCAGCACATATTATGTTATACATATTAAAATAAATTAGTTTTTTTTAAAAAAAATCCGAGCTTAATGCTCGTCAAAATAATAATTTCAGAAAAAAGTCAGGGTGTTTCTTCCTCCCAAAAGTCTGTCCTTTTTCTCTGGTGTCACTCACCTTCCGTGGTGGAGATGGTTCCTTCTGCACAAGGGAGACAGTCATAGCAGCAGATGGGCTTCCCTTCCTGAGCCACCTTCATGAATCCAGGATGGCAGTTTTCCACACACCTGGAAGGAGGAAGAGGCTGAGGAAAGAGAGGAAAAATACACAGAAAATGAACTTATTGCACAGGAAGAAGGTTTTTGTGATCTCCAGTTGAAGATATAGATTTGACTAACGAGAAGCCAATACACAATGTCAGGTTTATCAAACTAGTTGAAAAACATGTTCCTTCTCTCTTTCTATTCCTTTTAATGTTTTCTACACAGTATAAATATAGACTTTCATTTTACATTACATTGATTATGTATACTAGGTGACTTGCAGGACAAGCTCAATCTATCTCCCTTTCCATAGATTCTATGAAGAGTTTGTACAAAAATGGAAGACTATATTTTTCATGACCATCTGAATAGCTGATAAAGAAGAAGTTGGCTCTTTTGAGAGCATGATCAGCTGACATGGAAACTCAAAGGCACAGAGAAGAATCTCACCACACCTCAAATGTTTAATCCTGTTTTTGTAAACTTCGGTGGAATAAAATAATTATTACTCTCACCTTGTTCAGCTTTTCCACTTGTGTGAAACTCTTCTGGTCAATGAAAATTTTCAAATCCTGGGATGCCTGTTTTTTTAGACTCCCAGATTTCACTCTCTTGATGGATCTATTGGGAAAAATTACCCAGTTCACAATGTCCAGGTCAGCTGTCAGATCTCCTTTCTCATCCAAATATACACCATCAATGGAATTATTGTGAAATTGGGGGCTTTGAAGGAAGGGGTGAAGCTGGAAAGGAAAAGAGAGAAAAAGGATATATATAATTTCTTTGAAAAGACCCCCTAGTCTCTGTCTCTGTCTCTTTCTGTTTCTATTATTCTCTCTCTCTCCCTCTCTCCCTCCCTCTCTCTCTCTCTCTTTGTGTGTGTGTGTGTGTTTTCTCTCTCTCTCTCTCCAAAAAAACAGGTCATATTTTGATTTTCCAACTTGGTTAGGATAATATCAATAAACCTAGGAATAATAACAGCTGCTCATCTAATGTTTTGCTATAAACATTAGAATGATTATAAAGGACAGGAGTTTAGATATCGGACAATATTCTTGTTCTCCCTGCTTTATGAGAACAATGCTAATAACAAAATTCCCCTAAAGGCAAGCTCCATTTTTTTTTTATTTCATTGATGTTTGATTAAAATAATATTAATGTAAACTAAAACTTTTGGCCATTCAGAGGGCTGAGATTTTAATTTGACGGTTGTTGTTAGAGTTGCATCATATTTCCTACTTTCCTTTTTTGTTCTCCAGCTCTTCTGTGGTGAAGACCAGAGATCTAGCACAAGAAATATCTCTCGTGAGTCAAAATATTAGTCCAAAATGTTTGTTCCTTACAGTCCTTACTTTCAGTGATCGGGGAGAATTGCCTATTGACTCCCACCATCTAAAGCAGAGGTGTCAAACTCATGGCGTCATGGTGGCATCACATGATGTATAAGGACTTTTCCCCCTTTGTTAAACTGGGCATGGGTGTGGCCAGCGTGTGATGCATCCGGCCCATGGGGCAGGCCTGGTCTAAAGTGTAACCTTAAATTTGCCTCCTTGGCACAAATGTAACACTATAGTCAGGTCAACATGTCAAAAATGATGATCTAAGATCATCCACACAGTATATAAGACCAAATGTCAGCATTCCAGAAAACCTCCACTCCAACAAATAACTCCAAGATGGACATCTTCTCAAAGGTTCTTTTTATTAGAGTAGTAAACTGGCACATCTGGGAAATCCCGAATCTGAAAGTTCCAGGTTTCCTTGCAATAAGTAAAAAATTACAAATCCATCCCCTGCATCCATCATTGCATCACATGCCCCAATCGCCATCTTTCCCAACTTGAGATGTCCTCTCAACCAGGTGCAGAAATAACATGACCTTGACTTAAAAGAAGAATGCTATTATGTCTAACCACATACATTCCAAGCAATTCCCCCCTCCCATTTCCCCAGGCTCAAGAATGTGGCAGTGTGGAAGCGTCTGGTGCTAATATGGCTTCCAAAGCTGACACCAAGTACTATTGCTATATTGCGGCCAAAATACAGCTATTAGAAGATATTTGAATGGATGAGATAAAAGAATGGCTGAACAACCAAGATATGAAAGCATTTTCTTTGAAAACAATAAAAAAAGAGAGAGAATTATTGCAAAAAGCAGGATCAGCGGGTATCGATAGAAAAATGAAGGGATTGGAAGGTTGGAGTTGGGTTGGGACAGAGTTTCATGATAATTAAATTTGTTAGAATTATAACCTAGGCATCCTAGCTTACAAAACTGATTTCCATCTGCAGGGGAACAATGATAGAAAACAATTACCTGCCACGCCTTCAGCCTTGAATCTTCTCCCTTCATGCCCCTGTTCCTCACTGATCTCTTGAATGGGGGTATATAAGCTGAATTTAAGGCCCTTCCCACAGCCAAGATGGTGTTGTAAATGAGGTAGCTGTCTAAAGCCAGAATCTGATCAATCTTCTCTTTCTTTAGAGACACTAAATCTTCTCTCTGTCTGCACCGCCTCCAGACTTTCACTGAAAGGGCATCCTTAGTGGAGGAACATCTAAATATTTTCTTCACAAAATCATGCATAGATATATGAAAGAGATGTAAAGCATCATAATCTGCCCATTTCTTCTTCTGTATTAGAAAGGAAAAAATGCCGGCCACATACTTAAAGGAAAAGATACGAAGCATCAAATTGATACTGAGATCCCAGTGAGCTTTGGCGATCCAGACTTTTTCTACAATGGGTTCTAGAATGTGTTGAAGTAACACTTGCACAAACATCATTCCTACCTGGAATGAACTTATCTCCGAACCATAAACAAAGACATTGACTTCTCTCCACTTGTAATTTTTTTTAAATGAAAAGAGCATGTAAGCTGCATTTAGGGGAAAGGTTTGATGTATAACTGCACAAATGCCTTTCCTTAACATCAAAGAAGACATCATCCTCATGAACCTCTCCCCCTGGTCAGTTTCTGGAGCAAGCAGACCAACCAAGGTCCATTGGAAATAGAGGAGAAGCTGGACCATTCCTGGGTACTGGACTCCTACAGCAGGGAGCATTGGGTAAAAGAAAGGAAACTGAGTTTTATCCATCAAAATCTGAGAAGCAAGACTGTAACTGATCTGAAAGGCATAGAAGATGGTAGTATTTTACACATTTAACAAGTAAAGTGCTATTTCACTCATTTCCAAAATCCAACCTTTCTTTTCATTTACAGGAGAGGACCCCTGATGGAAAGTTGCATAATTGAAAAGTGTCCCCTGAGAAAGACACACCTGTGGGATTTTGTAGGTGCTCAACATGGTGGAAATCTGGACAGAGATGCCAGTCTCAGCTTCTTCCAAGACAGCTACTGTGTTTCTCTGCCTTCCACACCTGTAATTGGGCACATTGGCCTCCCCGTGTGAAAGGAGATCCAGCAAAGCATCTGAAGTAATTTCTATCCTGAAGAAATTTTCATAGATATTATAACCCAGGGTGACGTTGGGTAAGAGATGGTCACTATGGTTGATGTCCTCAGTGGCAAAAATGAAGGGCACAAATTTCCAATAATGTTTGGTTGCTTTTCTGCAGAATAGAATGGAATAGAATAAGAGAGTTGGAAGGGACCTTCTAGTCTATCTATGTCTATCTATCTTCTAATCCAGCCCCTGCTTAGGCAGCAAACCCTACACCACTTCAGACAAATGGTTATCCAACCTCTTCTTAAGAACTTCCAGTGTTGGAGCATTCACAACTTCTGGAGGTAAGTTGTTCCACTGATTAATTGTTCTCACTATCAGGAAATTTCTCCTTAGTTCTAGGTTGCTT